AGCAGGTGAGTTTACCTGTGTTTCTCATGTCTGAACATCCAGCAGCATCTAAACTCTCCTCTCCGATAGGCTCCTCCCCTAAAGGCCTGACTAAAGCCGAGACCATCCATGTGAAAGGTAAACGTTTCCTCGTGCTTCACGTTGATGACACTTTTTAAAAACGCCGCTCGCTTCACGCCTCGTGTCATCGTGTGTTTCTGTGGCAGTTCGTGCGGTCCTGAAGAAACGAGAATACGGAGCCAAATACACTCAGAACAACTTCATCACGGCGGTCCGAGCCATGAACGAGTTCTGCCTGAAACCCAGGTGAGTGTCTGTTACCTCGCCGTGTTCAGACCGCTGTTTCCCAGACGCCATGTGTACGATCAGTCTGAATGTTGGGGGAGGGTGAGGGTGAGGGTGAGGGGTGAGGGCTGGAGGGTGAGGGTTAGCGTGAGGGCTGGAGGGTGAGGGTGAGGGCTGGAGGGTGAGGGTTAGGGTGAGGGCTGGAGGGTGAGGGTGAGGGCTGGAGGGTGAGGGTGAGGGCTGGAGGGTGAGGGCTGGAGGGTGAGGGCTGGAGGGTGAGGGGTGGAGGGGGAGGGTGAGGGTGAGGGCTGGAGGGTGAGGGCTGGAGGGTGAGGGTGGAGGGTGAGGGCTGGAGGGTGAGGGCTGGAGGGTGAGGGCTGGAGGGTGAGGGTGAGGGCTGGAGGGTGAGGGTTAGGGTGAGGGCTGGAGGGTGAGGGTGAGGGTGAGGGCTGGAGGGTGAGGGTGAGGGCTGGAGGGTGAGGGGTGGAGGGTGAGGGCTGGAGGGTGAGGGTGAGGGCTGGAGGGTGAGGGTGAGGGTGAGGGCTGGAGGGTGAGGGCTGGAGGGTGAGGGTGAGGGCTGGAGGGTGAGGGCTGGAGGGTGAGGGCTGGAGGGTGAGGGTGAGGGCTGGAGGGTGAGGGTGGAGGGTGAGGGCTGGAGGGTGAGGGTGAGGGCTGGAGGGTGAGGCTGAGGGTGAGGGTGAGGGCTGGAGGGTGAGGGCTGGAGGGTGAGGGTGAGGGTGAGGGCTGGAGGGTGAGGGTTGGAGGGTGAGGGTGAGGGTGGAGGGTGAGGTTGGAGGGTGAGGGTGAGGGCTGGAGGGTGAGGGTGAGGGCTGGAGGATGAGGGTGAGGGCTGGAGGGTGAGGGTGAGGGTGAGGGCTGGAGGGTGAGGGTGAGGGCTGGAGGGTGAGGTGAGGGTGAGGGTGAGGGTGAGGGCTGGAGGGTGAGGGTGAGGGCTGGAGGGCTGGTGGACTCCTCTGAGTTGATGAGCAGACGTGCTGTTGTGATTAAGTGATTGTCCGCCTCATCACATGACTCTCTAACATCTCCTCCCCGTCCCCCGTCCCCCGTCCCCCCGTGTCCCCCGTCCCCCGTGTCCCCGGTCCTCCCCGTCCCCCGTCCCCCCGTGTCCCCCGTCCCCCGTGTACCCATGTCCCCCGGTCCCCCCCGTCCCTGTCCTCCTCCGTCTTTCTTCACAGTGACCTCGAGCAGCTTCGTAAGATCAGACGGCGGAGCCCCACGACGACACGGAGGCTTTCACTGTGTTTCTGCGGTCCGACGTGGAGGCCAAGTGAGTTCACTGCATCACCATGACAACCATCAAACACCCCCCCCCCCCCCCCCCAACATGTTTCTTTAACCTGCGTTTCTTTTTCTGTGACATCAGAGCCATCGACGTCTGGGGGAGCCACGAAGCTCTGGCCCGAGAGAGAAACCTCAGGAAGGAGGTGGAGAAGGAATACCAAGAAAGTAAGCCCCCCCCCCCGACCCCCTAACCCTACCCTAAGCCCCCCAATACTAACCCTAAGCCCCCAATACTAACCCTAACCCTAAGCCCCCCAATACTAACCCTAAGCCCCCCAATACTAACCCTAAGCCCCCCCAATACTAACCCTAAGCCCCCAATACTAACCCTAAGCCTACCTAAGCCCCCCCATACTAACCCTACCCTAAGCCCCCCCCCTGACCCCCCTAACCCTACCCTAAGCCCGACCCCCTAATACTAACCCTAACCCTACCCTAAGCCCCCCCAATACTAACCCTAAGCCTACCCTAAGCCCCCCAATACTAACCCTACCCTAAGCCCCCCCACGACCACCCTAATACCCTAAGCCCGACCCCCTAATACTAACCCTAACCCTACCCTAAGCCCCCCCAATACTAACCCTAAGCCCCCCAATACTAACCCTAAGCCTACCCTAAGCCCCCCCCCACGACCACCCTAATACCCTAACCCCCCCCCCCCCCCCCTAATAATAACCCTAACACCCCCGCCCCCCCAATACTAACCCTAAGCCCCCCCAATACTAACCCTAACCCCCCCCCCCCCCTAATACTAACCCTACCTAAGCCCCCCCAATACTAACCCTAACCCCACCCCCCCCCCACCCCCCTAATACTAACCCTACCCTAAGCCCCCCCCAATACTAACCCTAAGCCCCGACCCCCCGGGGGGAGAGAATACTAACCCTACCCTAATGTGCTGCGTGTCACTTCCTGTTTCCTCTGCAGATATTTTCCGGAACCAGCAGCTGCTGAAGGAATACAAAGACTTCTGGGGAAACACCAAGGTGAGCGCTTCTTCTGACCACGCCACGCCGTTCCTCCTGACCACGCCACGCCGTTCCTCCTGACCACGCCACGCCGTTCCTCCTGACCACGCCACGCCGTTCCTCCTGACCACGCCACACCGTTCCTCCTGACCACGCCGTTCCTCCTGACCACGCCACGCCGTTCCTCCTGACCACGCCACGCCGTTCCTCCTGACCACGCCACGCCGTTCCTCCTGACCACGCCACGCCGTTCCTCCTGACCACGACACGCCGTTCCTCCTGACCACGCCACGCCGTTCCTCCTGACCACGACACGCCGTTCCTCCTGACCACGCCACGCCGTTCCTCCTGACCACGACACGCGTTCCTCCTGACCACGACACGCCGTTCCTCCTGACCACGCCACGCCGTTCCTCCAGACCACGCCACGCCGTTCCTCCAGACCACGCCACGCCGTTCCTCCTGACCACGCCACGCCGTTCCTCCTGACCACGCCACGCCGTTCCTCCTGACCACGACACGCCGTTCCTCCTGACCACGACACGCCGTTCCTCCTGACCACGACACGCCGTTCCTCCTGACCACGCCGTTCCTCCTGACCACGCCACGCCGTTCCTCCTGACCACGCCACGCCGTTCCTCCTGACCACGCCGTTCCTCCTGACCACGCGTTCCTCCTGACCACGCCACGCCGTTCCTCCTGACCACGACACGCCGTTCCTCCTGACCACGCCACGCCGTTCCTCCTGACCACGACACGCCGTTCCTCCTGACCACGCCACGCCGTTCCTGACCACGACACGCCGTTCCTCCTGACCACGCCACGCCGTTCCTCCTGACCACGACACGCCGTTCCTCCAGACCACGCCGTTCCTCTGACCACGCCACGCCGTTCCTCTGACCACGACACGCGTTCCTCCAGACCACGCCGTTCCTCCTGACCACGCCACGCGTTCCTCCTGACCACGCCACGCCGTTCCTCCTGACCAGCCGTTCTCTGACCACGCCACGCCGTTCCTCCTGACCACGCCGTTCCTCCTGACCACGCCACGCCGTTCCTCCTGACCACGCCACGCCGTTCCTCCAGACCACGCACGCCGTTCCTCCTGACCACGCCACGCCGTTCCTCCTGACCACGCGTTCCTCCTGACCACGCCACGCCGTTCCTCCTGACCACGCCACGCCGTTCCTCCTGACCACGCACGCCGTTCTCCAACCACGCCGTTCCTCCTGACCACGCCACGCCGTTCCTCCTGACCACGCCGTTCCTCCTGACCACGCCAAGCCGTTCCTCCTGACACGCCACGCCGTTCCTCCTGACACGCCACGCCGTTCCTCCAGACCACGCCGTTCCTCCTGACCACGCCACGCCGTTCCTCCTGACCACGCCGTTCCTCCTGACCACCCACGCCGTTCCTCCTGACCACGCCACGCCGTTCCTCCTGAGACGTTTTTCCTTCATGACGAGTTCAGAGGATCTTGAAGTCGTGATGTGTCTTCATGGCGCCCCCCCCCCCCCCCCCCCCCCCCCTTATGGTTACAGAGTTAAGATTTTTTTCCACACTTAATTTTGTCCACCTTCAAAATAAAAGCACCGCATGTTAAGATGTTTACAAGGATAAACGGGGGGCGCCAGATGGCCTTGCGGTTATGTCTCATGCCCCTTGTACGGAGGCTGTAGTCCTCGTTGGAGTGCAGAGAAGTAAATATTTAATGGACACTCCCCCTGATATCTTACGCTGGCGTGCTGTTGGGACACGGCGTGACACTGCGCTGCACGTCCTGGTGAATTCTTTACTGGATGTAAAGCGTCACCATGCAGCATCAGTAACTGAAAACAAAGTGACATCTGACTGTTGGAAATTCTTTTTCAGACTCTAATAAAAACGTTCTTTTCTTTTTCTCCCTGAAGCCTCGATCAGGGCAGAGGGCGACTTTTCTCCAGGGTCCGGGGAAGGTGGTGATGGTCGCTATCTGCATGTAAGGCTTCCCCCTCCCTCATCTTCACATTAAAAAGCTGCAGCACACAGTGGGAGATGTTAGTGAACAGAGAGTCTCTCTGCAGAGATCCAGAGAGTCGATGTTCACAGTCTCACATGAGGCCGCTCTATTGGATTAGGATGATTGTGTTAGAGGACATGTGCAGTCACATGAACAGCAGAGTGTTTCCTTCAGTAACCACTCACACACGTTATCAATTAAGATCACATTGAGCATCTGAACTGAGAGTCTAGTTTAGTCTAAGATAACTCCAGAAAGACTTTTTAAACTCTCTTAAAGATAATAAAGTTTGTTTTCTCTACTCCTCACTAAGTTCAGCACTTTAATGCATCATGCTGCCACAACACACTTCACACCTTTTCTAACACTCTACCTGAACATAAAAATCATTTAGATGTAGTTTGTCTGTATCTTTGCTTATGTTTTGATATTTTGTCCGTTTTATTTTATTTATTATTTTGTCTATTTGTTCTCGCTTTAGTTGTCATGTCGATATATTCTTGTTTCATTTTGTTCACCTTATCACCAATAAAAATAAAAAGTTGATAAAGTTGAAAATGTTTCACCTGATTATTTTCTTGGTCTTCAGCAACGGGCTGAACTTCTTCTTCAAGCTGCTGGCGTGGGTCTACACGGGCTCAGCCAGCATGTTCTCAGAGGCCATCCACTCTCTGGCCGACACCTGCAACCAGGCTCTGCTCGCACTCGGGATCAGCCAGTCGGTGCGCAACCCTGACGCCGTGCACCCGTAAGAACCACCTCCACACACACACACACACACACACACACACACATCAGTGTTTAATGTGCAGCTTGATGTCTGTAAACACACAGAAGAAGAAGAAGACTCGTCTGTAAACAAAACTCTGAAGTCGTTTCACACGACTCCTGAACATTTCAGGCTCCTGAGATTCTCCTGACCTGGTTGTGTTCACACATGAAGCTCCTCCCCCTTTCAGGAGTTTATTAAAGAGTTTAGTGTGAAAGCAGCTTTTTTTTTTGGTCAGGGTCTTTTTATTTTCATTTTCAACATTATATCACAGGAACAAAATGACCAACAGAACAGAGAAAAACAACAAAAAAAAAGGAAAATCCCCCCCCCCCCGAAACCAGACACACATCAACATTGTACATAGCCAGATATTCATAAAAGGTGAATAAATAATACATATAGAAATAAATCACAGACGAAAACAAAAGGTCCCATTATGCTTTGTTGTCAGCCTCCATCTCCACAGAGATTAAGAAAGCTTGTCAGATATTATGTGTCATAATAGACCCTCTGATAGTGTGTCTCATTTTCTCTAATTTAAGATGACTTCTTTGATCCAATGACTATATGTCGGTGGGTTAGGGTCTTTCCATTTAAACAGTTTCAGTCTCCTGGCTAGCAGAGTAGAAAAGGCCAGCATGTTGATTTCAGAGGGGCGTCTACAGGGGCCACACCAAAGAGTGAAATAAATGGAGATGTTTGAACTGTTTTCCTAAATATCTTAGAGAAAGTGTGAAGCAGCTTTGAATCTGTTTCCAGGTACGGCTTCTCCAACATGCGCTACATCGCCTCGCTCATCAGCGGCGTGGGGATCTTCATGATGGGAGCTGGCCTCTCCTGGTACCATGGCATCATGGGATTGCTGCACCCTGAACCCATGGAGTCTCTGTTGTGGGTGAGTGTGCGTCGCCTCCTTTCTGTAACTCAGGTGGTGTTTAAAGGTCGATGCTGATTGGCCGTGTGCTCTCTCTCAGGCGTACTGTATTCTAGCGGGCTCTCTGGTGTCTGAAGGAGGTGAGTTACTTAACATCTCTGATTTTAAACTAATAGTTTTCATCGTGTTCTAAACGTTCTTCTTCTCTCTCAGCCACGCTACTCGTAGCCATCAACGAGATCAAGAAGAGCGCCCGGCAGCAGGAAGTGTCTTTTTATGAATACGGTATGAACTGAAGCGGGACGCCTGATTGGACGCAGAAACCTTCCCCTGAAGCGTTCAGTCATGATCATGCCTTTCATTGTTTGGTGTTTCACAGTGATGCAGAGTCGAGACCCCAGCACCAACGTGGTGCTGCTGGAGGACGCCGCCGCCGTGTTAGGAGTTATCATGGCGGCCGGGTGCATGGGGCTCACCTCTCTCACAGGTAAGGTCACCGCTTCCATCGCTGCAACACCTGTTGACCTGATAACTGCTCTCATATCTGACAAACCGAGGGGCGTGTGTGTGTGTTCAGGTAACCCTCACTACGACAGTCTGGGCTCTCTGGGCGTCGGCACCCTGCTGGGCTGCGTCTCCGCCTTCCTCATCTACTCCAACACGGAGGCTCTGCTGGGACGCTCCATCCAGCCCGAGCGTGTGCAGAAGCTGACGGAGTTCCTGGAGAACGACCCCGCTGTAAGGTCAGAGAACGACCCCGCTGTAAGGTCACAGAACGACCCCGCTGTAAGGTCACAGAACGACCCCGCTGTAAGATCAGAGAACGACCCCGCTGTAAGGTCGGAGAACGACCCCGCTGTAAGATCAGAGAACGACCCCGCTGTAAGATCAGAGAACGACCCCGCTGTAAGGTCGGAGAACGACCCCGCTGTAAGATCAGAGAACGACCCCGCTGTAAGATCAGAGAACGACCCCGCTGTAAGATCAGAGAACGACCCCGCTGTAAGATCGGAGAACGACCCCGCTGTAAGGTCACAGAACGACCCCGCTGTAAGGTCAGAGAACGACCCCGCTGTAAGGTCAGAGAACGACCCCGCTGTAAGATCAGAGAACGACCCCGCTGTAAGATCGGAGAACGACCCCGCTGTAAGGTCACAGAACGAGCCCGCTGTAAGGTCGGAGAACGACCCCGCTGTAAGGTCAGAGAACGACCCCGCTGTAAGGTCACAGAACGACCCCGCTGTAAGGTCACAGAACGACCCCGCTGTAAGATCGGAGAACGACCCCGCTGTAAGGTCACAGAACGACCCCGCTGTAAGGTCAGAGAACGACCCCGCTGTAAGATCGGAGAACGACCCCGCTGTAAGATCAGAGAACGACCCCGCTGTAAGATCGGAGAACGACCCCGCTGTAAGGTCGGAGAACGAGCCCGCTGTAAGGTCGGAGAACGACCCCGCTGTAAGGTCGGAGAACGACCCCGCTGTAAGGTCACAGAACGACCCCGCTGTAAGGTCAGAGAACGAGCCCGCTGTAAGGTCGGAGAACGAGCCCGCTGTAAGATCGGAGAACGACCCCGCTGTAAGATCGGAGAACGACCCCGCTGTAAGGTCACAGAACGACCCCGCTGTAAGGTCAGAGAACGAGCCCGCTGTAAGGTCACAGAACGAGCCCGCTGTAAGGTCACAGAACGACCCCGCTGTAAGGTCGGAGAACGACCCCGCTGTAAGGTCACAGAACGACCCCGCTGTAAGGTCACAGAACGACCCCGCTGTAAGGTCACAGAACGACCCCGCTGTAAGGTCACAGAACGACCCCGCTGTAAGGTCACAGAACGACCCCGCTGTAAGGTCGGAGAACGAGCCCGCTGTAAGGTCAGAGAACGACCCCGCTGTAAGGTCACAGAACGACCCCGCTGTAAGGTCACAGAACGACCCCGCTGTAAGGTCGGAGAACGACCCCGCTGTAAGGTCACAGAACGACCCCGCTGTAAGGTCACAGAACGACCCCGCTGTAAGGTCAGAGAACGACCCCGCTGTAAGGTCAGAGAACGACCCCGCTGTAAGGTCAGAGAACGACCCCGCTGTAAGGTCAGAGAACGACCCCGCTGTAAGATCGGAGAACGACCCCGCTGTAAGATCGGAGAACGACCCCGCTGTAAGGTCACAGAACGACCCCGCTGTAAGGTCAGAGAACGACCCCGCTGTAAGGTCAGAGAACGACCCCGCTGTAAGATCGGAGAACGACCCCGCTGTAAGGTCACAGAACGACCCCGCTGTAAGGTCGGAGAACGACCCCGCTGTAAGGTCGGAGAACGACCCCGCTGTAAGGTCGGAGAACGACCCCGCTGTAAGGTCGGAGAACGACCCCGCTGTAAGGTCACAGAACGACCCCGCTGTAAGGTCAGAGAACGACCCCAGGAATCTGAACGTCCTCGGTCACGTTTCCACGACGATGGCGTTCATGCGTGGAATTGTAACGTTTATTAAACTAGAGTTCAAACTTTTGAAAACGTTTCTCTCACGTGTAAACTACAGATACGCCGCACATGCTCAGTGCGCCTCCAGTCTGCGTGCACGGTGGTTGTTATCCAGATGGCGTCTGCACTTTTTGAGGGTCGTTCTCGTGTTAACGTGGCATTGGATTAGATGACACGCCCGCTCTGTTCTCCACGGTCAAAGTAAACGCCAACACAAGAAATGAACCATTGGGAGCAGTTTAACACTTTGATGACAGCACGCTAGCGTGACGTGTTCACTCAACACTTCCTGTTGAGTGACCACTTCCTATGGAGTGACCACTTCCTGTTGTTTTTTTGGAGCAGGGCGATCCACGACGTGAAGGCCACGGACATCGGGCTGAGTAAAGTGCGCTTCAAGGCCGAGGTCGACTTCGATGGTCGAGTGGTGACGCGCTCTTATCTGGAGAAACAAGACATCGACCAAATCCTCAACGTAAGTCCTTTCTCACTGCTAACGCTTAACCTGAAGAGGTAAGACATGCTAGCAGTGCGCTGTTAGCAGCACGCCGTTAGCAGCACGCCGTCAGCAGCACACCGTTAGCAGCACGCCGTTAGCAGCACAGTTTGAAGCCTCCTTTGTTCCTCTCAGGACATCCAGCAGGTGAAGACCCCCGAGGAGCTCGAGAGCTTCATGCTGAAACACGGAGAGAACATCATCGACACGCTGGGCGCCGAGGTGGACCGTCTGGAGAAAGAACTCAAGGTACACGAGGTCGCTGTTGTTACAGAGCGCCATTTACACGCTTTATTTTACCACAGGATCTGTGTGCGCTGCGTTCCATCCACGCCGCGCCCTCTCTAGTCTCTGCTCGTCTTTCCACTGTACACGCCGCGGCCCTTATCGCACGCCGTGGGCAGAGCTAAACCCTGGGCGAGGCTGTGCACACTGATCCTGTGGAAACTCACAGCAGGTTGCATCACTTCCTGTCTTTGAAGGCATCAGGTCACGTTAGAGGTGGGCGAAATAGAATAGAATAGAATGACTTTATTGATCCCAAACTGGGAAATTGTGGCGTTACAGCAGCAGGTTGTCCAACACACAATATGAGTAAAACACAATGTTAGCAATCTATACACAATATAATATTAAATACAAAGTGACTAAGTACTGAAAGATATAAAAACTAAGAATGGGAATATATACAACCAGGATTTAACTAAGCATTACTCGTCTTAAATATGAAAGATTAAATGTAAATGTGCAGAAACAGAGTTGTAAATGGACAGTATTGACATAGGGAGCTGTGCAATCAGTGATACATAAATTAAAGTGCAGGAGTGCAGACATGTTATAAGCAGAAACTATACAATATAACGGCTAGTGGACAGACAAATGAAGTGAACATGAGTGCAGGGATAATTTGTAAATGTAACATGTGCAGAACAGATTACAGTATGGAGAGACAGATATTATCATGATGACAGTTCTCTGCTTGCATGAGGTGAGCTGTTGTATGAGAAAAATATCATATCACGATTTTATCACGATTTTTTTCATACTGATCTTTAGATAAATTTGTAAGTTACTGACCAGTTCAACCAAACTTATTTCCCTGTATAATGTTTTTAAATGCACAAAAACTGAGCAGACAAGTTTAATCTATTTGAAAAACATCTTTGTAGGAGGTCTGGAGGTCTCTCACCCAGAACATCTTTAGCAACAGAAATGTCTTTCCCTCAATTTGATCAATATCTATGAACAATTTGAAGGTTTTCCTCACCACTTTGAAATGATGAGTTAGTTATGTGTCCTCTTTTTATGTTCATCAGGAACACACAGTGATGCATTCATTTAAAAACATGTAGACTTGAAGTTGTTGAAGTTTCTGTTCTGTTTTAGCCCTGCAGAGTTCCTCCAGCTGGAGCTTCATACAGGCTCTGCAGACTTTGTTGTTTTTATGACATCATTGGACTAACTTTAGTTTAGTTTATATATAATCAAACATAATACAGAATGTGTTCATTCTGTGACACATGATCAAAGTAAGTTTTACTGACAGAAGAGTCCACGTCTGTGTCGGAGCATAAACTGCAGGCAGAGCCGGCCCTAACCATTTTGGTGCCCTAGGCAAAATTTCAGCCGTTGCCCCTTAAATTGCAGCCAGTTTGGCCACCAAAGACAATATTCATAGACTTAAAGAAAACTGGCTTACAGCTTTATCTGTACCATAATTTCTTTATTTTAAAAATAATACTTAAAAACAAA